TTCCAAATTTTGATTCTTAATAGCTACATTTCTGGCCAACATTTGATGAGCATCTGATGTGGAGGGCAAGTCTTTGAACTAAGACATTGGGGACATGATGGGGTGTAAAACATTCCTTTTGTTTAATTCTCATCATTCCATGAAGGAAATGCCACGGAGACCCATTTTATCCCTGAAAACAGGCATGGTAAGAGATTAGACCAAGGCTATGATTAGTAAATGATATAGGCAGGACTAGAACCGAGGTCTGACTGGACCCTTGTGCAGCCGTTCTTGAAAAAGACGCTGTCAGATGTCAGAGGTGGCAAGTGACGTCTCATGAAGCACTCTGTCTAACAGAAATGGCAGGGTAAAGCTGGTGGGAGGAGGAGTCAAAAGGCCTTGATTTTGCAGTGGGTTGAAGCACTGAACTGTAAGTGCCGAAGATAGAGAACACTTGGGCAACAAGTCTTGGCTTGGCCGTGTCCCCAGCCCTATGTAAGTCCTCCAAGAGTTCAAGAAATCTGCTGACCAATGACCCGAGGCCAGCCTTACTGGTAAAATACTTGGAGTTTTTATTTGACTCGAAATGTGCAGTCAAACCCAGAATGGCCTTGAGACTTGACCTGAGGAGTCCAGCATGAGAAACAGCATTGTGGCATCTGGAGCAGTGAGCTCCTGGGCCTGCCTCCCATTCCTGTTCCTGTTCCTGGGTTTACATGGAGCAGGCTGGAGCCTATCACTGGCCCTACAGGAAGGCCTTTCTGCTGAGTGGCCTCCTGCCTGGGGCTTCCATTGTAGCCCCTGGCACACAGTTTGTCTTTTCTTTCATAACTGTAACTGCCTCTCCCCTGGGGATGTGGGCAGCTCAAGGCAGGGCAGGCTGCTCCCCAGTTCCAGCAGCTGGTCAGATCCCTAAGCACCACTCCACATTGTGGGGTCTGAGCCCAGATCTCAGAAGGACAAGACAAAGGCAGACCCAGCAGGCAGTCCTAAGTCTGCAGGGGGAGCCCAGAGATACTCGGGCCTGGCAGAGCAGCTGTGAATGCCTAGCTCCATGGACAGAGCATCAGCTAGTCCAAGCAGCCCTTTCCTCTGGGCCCAGCACTCCCTCTGGCCAAATCCACAGCCTGAGAGAGCTGGGCAGACCTTTTTGCCAAGGAAAGCTGTTGCCATTTCTAAGCAGGTGCGCTGGCTCTATGGGAAAGAGGGAAAGTTGACAGAGATGGCAAGGAAGGAGAGAGGGAAGGAGATGGAGTGACAGCAGGACCTTTTGAATCTCTCCAGAACCAGCATGGGGATCTGGGGTGGAAAATAATTTGGGCAGATGGACTAGGGAAGTCCAGTTGTTGCCAGTACTTTGGATAAATCAGTAGTTCTGTGTGAAAAGAGCCACAACAAAGAGCCCGTAATTCGGGGGAGGAGGCCAAGGTGAGCATGCAGGTAACGGAATTCTTCCCAGAGCAGGCCCCTCTGACACCTCTGAGGGCTGCCTGAGGCTCTGTAGGCGGACAAGAAGAGCATGCCCAAAGGCACACACACACAACTAAACAAATGCGTGGTGAATGTGCGTGTTGAGGGGAGGACCTCGGTAGGGAATGGAAGTTAGCAGGTTTTTACCACCTTCCTGTCATCGGCGTCAATAATGCACACTTGTGGCCTTATACACGTGCCTGGTGGTGGCACCTGGAGCGTGGTGTGGGCGTGGGTAAATGGGCGTGCCTGAGCCAGAGCCTGAGCACATAAGGGCAGCCGAGGCCTGAGCAGCGGGCTGCAGTAGGGACCAGCAGAGACCAGGAGAGCGAACACCTGAGAGCCCAGAAAGTGAAGATTTGCTCCCCAGCCTCCTGGCCCCCAAGCCTCCCTGCACCCCCTGCCCCTGGTGGCCTCCCTACAGATGGTGTAGAAAGATCATTAAAAGCCTGAGAAGGCCACTGCAGGTTCCAGGACCGTAGAGAACCTGCTGTGTGCCCAGGACCTTAGAGAACCTGCTCTGTGCCTCCCTGGCATTACAGACACCCACAGGGGAAGGCCTACCAATAAACACCAAGGAGGGAGTCCCACTGCCCCCAGGAGGCAAATTTGCAAAACGTGGACCTCCAGTCTCATCTTGGGACCTGAACAACATCTCAGCAACAGCCCCTTCCTCCCTGGGGCCAGGCACACTTCCAGCCACCAGGTGGGGGAGGATGTCAGCAGCTTCTAACCCCTGGACAGGTGCAGCTGGGGTAGTGAAGATGGGTGAGAGGCCATGCGGGAATGGAAGGCCTAGCACCCTGGGCCCGCCAGTTTGTCACCTCTCTCCAGTGCACTTGAAATTAATATATTGCACAAGCACACACCACACCCCCTTGAAGACGTGTTTCCCACACAAAATCTACCCGTGTCTTGTGCGAAGCACTGATTATCAGTATTTAGATTTTGTGCCACATGAGCACACAAGGATCAAAACAGGGCTTGTGGGAAGAGCACACGGACTAGGGCGATGGGATACGGGAGAAATGGTGGGAATTTCTTGGTGACCACACACGAGATGAGAAAGCGTACATTGTACAAAAATGAAGAATGATGTAAAAATACAAAACTTAAAACTTACATATTTCTGGACTTTATGGTCTGCAGCCCGGTGCACAGGTTCTTAGCCGCTGCCCCACGTGGGGCAGGAAGGGGCCCAGGGGCGGGAAGAAAACTGGAAAGAAAACTCACGGGGGGCCCACACCTGCCGGGCAGCTGACACCTCCGGGCTGCTGAGAGGCAGGGAGGGCTCTGTCCGCCGCCTGTCCAGACCCGCTGGGCACCCTCCGGTCCCGACTTGCAGCGACACCGCACTGAGCAAACCAGCCCCTTGCAGGAGGCTCGAGGCTGCGGATGGGGTGGAGTGGCCTCCACGTGCCTTGGGTCCAGGCCCTTCCTTCCCGGCTACCCGACGCCCTTGCCTCCCACTGACCTCTCCCTCACCAAGGAAGCTGTGGGAGGAGGCCGCCCAGGCTCTCCGAGGGAGAAGGGAGCGCCAGGCCGACTGGGTCAGCGCTGGCCCTCGGCTTTTGCTGATGTCTAGACCTTGCCCCACCCCGCCCGATCACCCTAAAGTACTGGGCTCTCCGCCACAATTGGTGCCACTTTCCCAGGGCCAGGCCCGGCTGTGAGGCAGGATCTGGACGCGTGGCATCCCACTACATGGCTCCAGAAGGAACGCGGGTTTGATAGTCACACTAATGCGTGCACTGCCTTTTCTGCGCCTGAACAGCTTTCCCTGCCCTTTCTGTAATCCTTCTCATTTTAGGGGTCCCTGTTGGGCCGAACGGCTGTAAGACCCGCTCAACTCAGCCCTGTCACTCTCTGGCTCCCTCCTCTGTAGGTACCCACTTCTCTGCTGCACAATCTGGCCCAGGCTAGACTGGTGACCTCAGTCTCCCCCAGACTACCAAAGAGGGAGATGCCCTTTCTACATCCCTGACCTCCGCACCCCCGGCCCCCCACCTCCACTCCCCGCCTGTCTCCTAATTCAAAACTACATCCTACTTAAGAGGGTTTGGATGGAGCAGGGATAGACCTGGCCTCCA